TTAATAAGAACGTTGTACTAATGATAAAAAAATATTATGATGTCAATCAAATTTTAATTTATACTTTTTTCACTTCTGAGGATGGCAAGAAATTATTGTAATTTCCAATAGGTATGTAGCATGTTTTAAAAATAAAATTAATTACAATTTTGCCAATGAATAACTTAATTTGACACCGTATAAGGAGCATACCAACAGTTTAACACAATTGAGTAAATCATGCAATAAGTTGTGGGACTCAGTTTCAAAATTGAATTGAATGTATTAAGTTTGTATATTGTTTAAGCACCTATTAAGATGCCATTGTAAAAATTGCTAATATCTGACTAACTAGAAAACTAAGAATTTTTTTCAATCCTTTATCCATCATTATCAGTTTTACTGCTTATTATATTGGGTTGGCAAATAAGTCCTTTCGGTTTTTCAGGGTGAAAGAAAACTCAATGTATTATAGACATAACATTTATTTTAATCTACAATATATTGACTGTTATTTAATATGACTTTTTCATTTATTGTTAAAAAACTGATCCAAGTGGTTTTTGATGTCCTCTTCCTTTTGGAATTTCCATTCATGGAGTTCTGCAGTGACTGGAATAAGTGGTAGTAACTTGGAGCCAGGTCTGGTGAATAGAGAGGGTATGGCAAAAGGTCCCATCCAAGGCTCAATAATTTATTGCGAGTGACCAATGAGGTGTGGGGTCTAGTTCTGTCTTGGTGGAAAACAACACTCTTACAATTTGCCAGTTCTGGGCCTTTATTTTTAATTGATTGATTCAATTTTGTTAATTGTGAGCAGTATAGAGTTGAATAAATTGTTTGTCCGGATGGCAATAGCTCATAGAAAATAAAACCCTTGAAATCCCACCATATGGAAAGCATTATCTTCTTTGGATGAAATCCGGGTTTTGACATTCTTCTAGGAGCCTTCCTAGTAGGTCCCCAAGCTTTTCCAAGGACTACACTATCGTAAAACATAAATTTTTCATCTCCTGTTACCAAGCTTTTCAAAAATGAGTCGTTTTGTTGCTGTTTCCGAAGTGAATCACAAACAGAAATGCGTGTTGCCAAGTTGACTTCGGTTAGAGAGTGAATATGAGTCCATATTCACAGGACCTAAACATTAAGCCTGGACACACAGTCGAGCTTGTGCAAATAGTTTTCTACGCTGGTATGTGACACATTTAGGGCCATATTAATCTCTCGGACTGATTGGGTGGGATTTTGATCGACGATGGCCTTAACATTGCTCGTTTCAATTTCATATGGGCGACCATTGACCGGACCATTGATATCAAAATTTTCAGAATGAAATTTGGCAAACCGATTTCGACAGGAGCGCTCAGTTAAGTCATCATCCCCATAAACACTGCAAATTTTTCTATGAGCTTCTGCAGCAAGCTTACCTCTTTAAAAATAATACAACAAAATATGGCTATAATAAATAATATTTTCTTTCATATTCACAGTGCAATAGCAAACACAATACTAAGCTAGTTTCAACAAGAGTTAACAGATATAGTTGTTAACATATTACAAACAGGATAAACAATCCCCCTCAGGGATTAATTCATCAGATAAGAAGTGTGTCATGGTGACATACAAATAAACAGAAAAACCGAAAGGACTTATTAAAGGACTTAACTACCAACTTCTGTTGTGTGGTAAATAATTATTCACATAAAAAGCTCATCATTAGTCCTACAATTTTTAAACTTGACTAAGTAGTATATTGATCAGTAGGATACAGAATACATAAAAAAAAAAAAAAAAGAAGAATAAGAAAATAACATAAAAGTACAAATGACACCTAAATTTCAATTTTCAAAATTTTGGATGTTGCTGATTTTTGCAAGGAAATTGTAATGTTTTAATACTTGAGTACTAAATTAATAAATTGATATTCTAGTATCATTAGTAGTTCCATTAGCTATGTATTGTAACTTGAAAAATCCAGAGAACTTATAACAAAGCGAAGCTCAAACACCCTTTCCATCCTATAAGAATAAAAATTAAAATATGACAATTTGACATATTTTTTCTTGCCAGCTTTTTTTAGTATATTATATTATACTCCAAGAAAGTATCTAATGCTAATATTCAAAGACTTACAAATAAAGTTTAAATTAAAATGTTTCTTCCTGAAGTCCAATTTGATTAGTCTGCCTTTTAAGATTTATACTTCATCATTATCAACACTTCTACACTTTTATAGCCAAATATATTTCTCATATGTTCTATTACTTTAACTCCATAAAAAATGAGATAAGACAGAACCATTTTTCTTGATTATTCTTGTCTTTTTCAACTTTATCTCAGTTACAGAACAATGACACAAATCTATAAAATTTTATAAATTATGGCACCATGCTAGTTTCGTTCTACCTAACAACAATCTGGAAACAACTTAAACCATTCCTTAGGGGAAAAAAAAATGTTTAAATGATATGCTTAGTAAGCCTTCTGAAGCTTAGCACTGGTCATATATGGCTTTTTAGATTCTATAGGGAATACATTCTTCCGCATTCCTATATGCTTTGATGATAGATTTTAGCACATTTAGAATCCTTACATTATATATAATTAATTATTTATAGTGTTATTAGAACTAATATTACTGAATATTTAGACCAGGTGATAGTATGCAACCAATTGGGTAATTGTATGAATTTTATGATGAATTAAATTATTATATGTTGATGCGGATTAGGTTAAAAATAAAAACATAAAAAGTCAAGAATTTTTCTATTACTTATCAGCAAAAATAAAAGTGGTGGGGACAGTGCATCACCGAGAAATAAAAGAATAACTAGAAAATCAATAGTTTTTAAGACCATGAATAAAGTCACATGAGTCCTGGGCTCATCACAGGATAATTTAATTGGTATTCCTAGAGATGATGGGCAAACCTGAATTTCAAGGCATTTCAGAAACATGGATGTACACTCCATTGAGAATTTTTTGAGTTGTCTAAGTAATTAGTTTTAGTTTTTATCTAGTTTAGTAACTGATTTGTTATATTCCTTCCTATAATAAATTTATTCCTCCTGATGAGTTATATTTATTCCTATAAGAAATGTATTCCTCCTGATGTCTTATTATATTTATTCTTGTTTTGTTTTGCAATAGGAAATAGGAAAGTATTTAATTGAAGTAAAATGTGTAAAATAAAAAGTTATTATAAAATAAATTGCAACAATTCTATAATTTCTAATGATGAATATGTGGTGGTTCTCCCCCCCCCCTTAATTTTATATTTAAGTGTCATGGAACTTAACAAATTGCAGTAAAAATAAATAAAAATGTGAAAAGGAAGATACAATATATATAGAAAAAAAAAAACAGTAGTGGAGAAATTCACACAAAGAACTGTAGATAAACCGGACAGTAAGCTTACTACCATTCTAAATCTCAGTTTAGCTTTAACCTTATACCAACAACAGATAGTGGAGATAAAGTAGTTGATCTGTTACTGGTAGTTTAAATTTAGGTAACCAAATCTTGGTCAAGACTATGAATGGTGCAACTTGCCCTGAATGTGTGAATCAAGACCCCCTTGTAACTACCCATGATTTATCAGACGTAGTAGGGGCTTCTAATGCCTTAGTGACTCGTCATCTTAAAAGCCCGGAGTATATGGAATTTAAGACCAAAGTATGACCAAAATGACCAAAGTCCATAAGAGAGTTTATATTTACAAAATTTTGCTTAAAAATCTGAAATATGACAGGTTCTGGAAAAAACAGCCAGGTAAAGCTGCAAAACCGGATGTTTAACAAGACCGTTTTGCGAAAAAAATTGATGCTTTGTGTGTGGTGGAACTTCGAAGGCATTTTGTGTTTTGAGCTTGTTCCTGATGGTCGGGTAATAAACTGAAACCTTTACTGTGAACAGCTAGACAGAATCTATGCAGTTATGAATGCAAAGTACCCTGCTTTGGTCAATAGGAACCAAGTAATTTTGTAACACGACAATGCCTCTGCACATTGTTCTTGTTGGATCAAGGAAAAATTATCGATAATCGTTTAAATACTATTTAAATGACATCAGATAATGGTTTGTTTAGATCAATGGCTCATTTTTTTGACGGCCAGATCTTGGATAATTATGAGGATATAAAAAGTGGATGCAGCACAGGACTGATTACCCTACTTCGTGTACTTAATCGGGAATCGGGATGTGGTCTACCAGGATGTTAGTAGCCCCTCTGAGGTTCGGTCCATGGACATTCTGTTTCGGAGAAAGAAATATAGGTCCTCGTGCGCCTGCTGACTCCGAGCAGTCATGATGCATGGATCTAGACCGATTTGTCACTGCCCTTGAACCCGAATGAGTCAGTGGGAAGGGCACTGCCAGATTGGTCCCAAAGGGATAGGCTATGGAGCTATGGATGGCCTGCCGCTATGGGGGTGAGGTTGGGTGACCCCCTCCAGGCTATCTGAGCTACCGCAAGTAACATATGTATGTAAGGAGACCACATCTTGCGGCCAAAGATCTTCATGGTCTGTAATGCCAAACAAAAAAAAAAGTGGATGTCAAGAGTTCTTAGCCTGAAAACTAAAGGAGAGGTTTTGGCATTAAATCTAATTACTGACAGTAAGATGAGTGAAAATAGATGAAAACAATGGAATTTACAACGAAGAGTAGTATTCAATAATCTTTAAAGTATATAGTATGAAATAAAGCTATACTTATGCACAAGGACTTGTATAAAAACATAGTACATCATATCCTTAATATCCAGTTGACAAAGAAAAAATCTGATAAAGAATTGAAAAAGTTAGATTATTCCCATTAAAAATATAACAATAAATTACTTTTAAAAAACAACAGGAAGAATCTCAAAGAGCATGCAACTATATTTTACCAAATTTAACATATTTAGGTAATTTTTCCGCTCTTAAATATGTTTAATTGTATTCATCTTCAAATCACATTTCCCTAAATAATAATGACAAAACAATTTTTAAAAATTGTAAATTAATTTTTCTTTCAAAAACCTTGAATTGTGCGTTTGAAAAATGCTTTACAAGCTTCGCAGGAGGCCACTCCATAATGAAAACCTGATGCAATGTCACCACAGACCAAACACAATCTCCTGGGTGCTTCATCATCTTCTGTTTTCAAAACATCCTAAAAAAAGAAGAAAAATTGATAGTAACAAAATGATAATAATGAAGATAATTTAATAGCATGATGAAAAATTTGTTGATAATTGTAAATATTAGAAAACATATACTTGAATGAATTGTGAAAAATAGGAATGGAATGAAATGAAATAAATCCCACAATTGCTATAGGATATTACCTTAATACCCCAAATATTAAGATAGGTACTAAAAAACCCATTACGTACTTTCTCAAATACATCAATACATACAGATGACAAATTTAAACACACTTTCTAATTAATAGAGATATTCACAATCCCTTAACTATGAAAGCAAACATAAATTGATGAAAATAACAAATTTTAAGAGGTTAACTTAAATTGGGAAAAGGCTCTTTTACATAATTAAGTTTCTTGACTTGTTTCTTGTATGAACACACTTTGGTTGAGAAACTTAACCATGTAAAAGTGAAATTTTGATAGGATATATAGTACATGTACCTAAAGAAAATTCACCAAGACTGACAATGTACCCAGTTTGTTTTGGAAATTAAAAGTTTCCTTAATAACTCATAATCATCATGTTTTCAAGTTATAGGGGTCACTAATTGTATTATTTCAGTCCAGTTGGATACTAGATGTCAGTCTAGTCAAGTCTGAAGATTTATTTGTGGTGCACTTGTTAACTACCTCTGTGGACGAAGTGTTCTAAAATGTGGATGAGTCAAGTATTGTAGGTTATAAAAAAAAATTTATGTCTGCATGTCATAAAGTCTGTGACGGAATTAATATTGAAATTGAATTGAAAGAACATTAAATTTTCAAGAGCCTATAAAGAGTCATATGGAAGTAGTTTGTTGGACCGCCCGACATTGAAAGATATTTTAGTCCCTAATTTTATATCATGTTGTAATAAATGTTTATATGCCACAGCTAGAGACAAACCTTCTCTTTACTGACTTTAATGCCACATACAACAATATTAATTGTGAAGAGCTATATCTAGCAATGGAAGAATTTCAGATCTCTCTGAAGCTTATACATATGGTGAGGCTGACCATGAATGAGGTGTTGTGTTTAGTATGGGGTGGTGCAGATCTAATTGAGGATTTCCGAGTGACAAGGGGTCTAGAGCAGAGTGACAACCTCACATGCCTTTTATTCAATGTTACCCTGGAGAATTGGTCAAGTTGGACAGAAAGTATTCAGTCAGAGTACACAACTCACCTATCTTATTCCACACCACCGTTAAAAACCTAGGTGTTACTTTTGATCAATCCCTATCCTGGAAACCTCACATCTCCCAAATTTCCCGTCACACTATCTCCACCCTAAAGCAGTTCAATCGTCTACGATATCTCCTTCCATATAAGTCCCTTCAACTCCTAGTTTCCTCCCTTGTTTTCCCCCACTTCGACTATGGCTGTATGGTGTACGGTGGACTCTTGGGAGATTCCGAGGCCAAACTTAAACGCCTACTGAATTGCACACTGCGATTTGTTTTCGGAATCTCAAGGGATACGCATATTACCCAGTATTACACTGAGTTGAGGTGGCTCTACCCATTCTATCGCCGTCAGTACTTCCTAGCTACCTTTCTGTACCAAATCATTAGAACCCATCGACCTTCCTATATTTTTCACAGCTTACAATTCAAATATTCCATCCAATCCCGTCCCACCAGATCTCGTACTTCCGACCTCTATCCTCCTCACCGAACTGCTGCGTTTGTCAAATCCTTTGCAATACAAGCCGCCTCCCTCTGGAATTCCATCCCAGCTGATATTCGACACGCTCAATCAGTTTCCTCTTTTAAACCTCTCCCCCTTTAAGCACCTACTCCTTTCTCAATCCGAATGATTGTGAAATATATCTAAGAGAAATATCTGAGCACCACCAGAGACTACCTAAATTTATTAAGGTTATTTTAGTTTCTCATATATATATGTACAATTTACTTGTTCTTTTCTTTCTCTTTTCTGTATTTTTATCGTAAGTCAACTTTCATTGTAAATATACAATTTAATTGTAACCACACAGACATACAATCTGTATTTATATTTTGTTCTTAAGAGACAACAGTCCCAGAATAATAAAACATTTTTTCATTTCATTTCATTTCAACTATTATTAACTAATTAAAATTAGAAAGTAACTTATAATTTTTCATTTTTTTACTATGACTGTTTAATTGCCGGGTGAGATTGAATCTTCATTTCACCTGGATCTTGTGCCGAGAGGAGGGAGGGCAGTTAAACAAGATTTCAGTCAGCTTACAGGTAGCACGTTAGACATTTAAGTTGAGACTGGGAGTAGGGAGCGCATGCGTTAGATAAGGCCTAGCTCTAGCCTCTATCTGTAAGTCAGTAAGCCCAGTGTTCAGGTCACATCAATTTTTGTTACATCATTGAACGGTTTTTTTTTCACATATTTTTTAGATTATACAGTTTATTTTTACCAGGCAAGATGGTTTCATGCCCAATTTGTAGGCGTAGAATTACCAGAGAAGATAAAAAAAATCTGACATGCTCTATCTCTATATGTCAAGCTATTTTTCATGGCAAATAATGCTTTATCGCAGATGAAAGTGAATTTGAAAAATTAAGGGCATCACGGAAGAATTGGGCATGCCAAGAGTTGGGCAAAAATTATCGATAGCTAACAGCTAACAGCTGACAGCTAAATTAGCTATTAGCGGAAAGATAATTCTGCAACTAAATTAGCTTTTAGTGGGATCAAGAAGCTAAATTTTAGCTTAAGTTAATCATTAGTTCCTCTTATAGCTAACAGATAATTAGCTTTATCTATAACTTCAACTAAAAGCTAATAGCTAACTTTTCGGATTTAATTGATCTTAGAGTAGACTATAATGTTTTCAGAGGCAGTTTTTATAAAAATACTGTTGGATTTAAGATAGCGCCCCCCGGCAGCGACCTTTTGTAACTTTTAGAATTTAATCAATATCAGGGTCGACTATTAGGTTTTGGAGGACGCTTTTTATGAAAATAATGTCGGATTTAAGATAGTGCCCGGAGGCACTGAATTTTGTAACTTTTAGGATTTAATCAATAACAGGGTCGACTATTAGGTTTTGGAGGACGCTTTTTATGAAAATAATGTCAGATTTAAGATAGTGCCCGGGGGCACTGACTTTTGTAACTTTAGGATTTAATCGATATCAGGGTCGACTATTAGGTTTTGGGGAACGCTTTTTATGAAAATAATGTTGGATTTATGATAATGGCCACGGGCACTGAATTTTTGTGACTTTTCAGATTTAATCGATATCAGGATCGACTATTACGATTTGGGGGACGCTTTTTATGAAAAAAAAATTGTGCTCCCGGGCACCAACTTTTGGTAACTTTTCTGATTTAATCAATATATGGGTCGACTATTAGGTTATGGGGGAGGGACACTTTTTATGAAAATAATGTCACACTTGAGATAGTGCTCCCGAGCACCGACTTTTTGTCCCACTCCTTCTCCCATGAATAATATCCTTTTAACCTGCCATGTCAACGCCCAGTAACTCCTAGCCCATTTCGATGAATTTTATGATTATTTCCTCCACAACTTCTACCATTTAATTGTTGTTCTTCAGTTCCTGAAACCTGGTTAAAGCCTTCTATTCCGTCTTTCCAAATTACTTTACCCAATTATACCCTCCTTCATCATGACAGAGTGGATCGTACAGGTGGTGGTGTAGGTCTCTTTGTCCATGACAGCCTTAAATTCAAAATCCTCCATTGCTCTTCCCATACCGATTCTCCACACCTAGAATACCTTTTTACTGTAATCTTCATCCCATCATCCCCCCTTCTCTTTGCAGTCATTTATCCTCCTCCCAAAATTCCCTTTGATAAATTATTTGAGACTTCCCTTTACAACTTGATCCCTACCTACTCCAATATTATCCTCTCCGGAGACTTCAATACCAATTTAATGATACCATCCTCTGACCATTCCTACATGACCAGCTTCCTCCAATCCCTCAGCCTTTATATAGTATCCTACGACCCTTCCCATCATGCCCAGTTCTCAGAGTCCTGACTTGATCAGTTTATCTTGGATTTCCTGGATAAACTCTTCGCAGCATCTCAGCACCCCCTTTCGTTTCTGTCTTCCCATGATCGTATCTAGATCTCCTACAACATCCTGGTCCCATTTCTTTCTCCTCGAACCATATCGTTCTCAAATCTTAATTCCCTCACCTATAATCCCTGTTGCAGGATCTTGACGCTATCCAGTAGGACCCCATTTATTCCTTAAAATCCATTGACGCGATGGTAGAAATCCTTACCAACCACATTCATACCATCCTCGACTGCCATGCTCCTCTCCTAGCTAAAACCATTTGACATCTCCCTGCTCCTTGGCTGACACTCACTCTGAGAGAGTGCATGAGAAGAAGAGATGCTGCAAGATGGCGGTTTAAACACACCCAACTCCCGGAAGACTATATCGCCTTCAAGTATCTTCGAAACAGCATTCAGTCTGCTATATGCCGAGCCAAATCCCATTATTTTCATCATTTCTTATCCAACACCCCAAACTCCAAGGCCAAGTGGGCTATCCTAAAAAAACTGACCATTTTTAACACACTTCAAACCCAGTTCATTTCCTTTTCGGCTGAAGACCTTAACGCTTACTTTGTCTCCTGTCCCTTCTCATCCTCATCTCCTGCACCATACCGGCTCCTATGGTATTTCCCTTTTAATTTTAATCCTGATCACTATTTATTTCCCATATTACACCTGATGACCCCTTCAACTCCATTCAGAAATCGCATACCAATGATTATGGACCCGATAACATCCAAGTCAGACTGATCAAAACCTCACTACCATCCATCCTTCCAATCCTCTACCATATCTACAATTACTCACTACAAACCGCTACCTTCCCTACATCCGGGAAAAATGCACTAGTTCGCCATGTGAAGACTTCCAACCCATCAACTCTTAATGATTTTCATCGAAATTCTCTCCTCTCAAACCTTTCTCCAAACCCTTAGAGCGAC